TCTGGTCTATGTTGGGGTACCCTTTTCCTGGCTGCACCCTGCAGTGGCCCTGGCTTACACCAATGCAGGGCAAAGGTGGGATAGGCAAGGATTAGGCCCTTAGTCCAACCTCCAGGTAGATTAGGAGACCAAGGAGACATGAAGCTAGTTTCTGTCAAACCAGGGAATCGAACCCAGGACTTTCCTGTGCTGTGACCGGGCAGGGCCCGCCTCAGTTTCTTCCTCTAAGTGAGGTTGTTCCGTGATCCGGCACCGGCGGGGACACCTGGGTTTCGAGGGTTTGAAGGCCTGGCCTTTCCTGACCAGGCTGTGAGCCGCCGGCTTGGCTGCCCAGGACTGTGTGCTCTGCGGCAACTCTGTCTGGGGGCGGAGGTGCGTGGGGAGTGTAAGCACCAGGCTTTCAAGGTGTGTCTTGCCGAGTGAGGACACAGTCACGCACTTCCAGTCTAGTCACTGTGTTTATGGGTGGAGGAGGCTTGGGGGAGATGTGCTGGTGCTGCGGGGGCATTTTTATCCCGAGGGTGGTGACCCCCATTTTACAGATGAGAAAACAGCTGAACCCTAGTGTGGGCTGCATCAGAACCCAACTCCTGTCTACCCGCCCCCAGCTGCTCGTGTGCGCTGCTTGGGTGGGCTCTCCCCGCAGGGAGCAATACGGGGCTCCTGCAGTACATCCCGGTGGGGAGAGGACAGCACCGGTGCATGGGGAAAAACAAAGAAATGAGAAAAACATTAGGAAGGTAAATGCAAGCAAGGCAGAGGCTGACAGTGGGGTGATGGCCCGAAAGTGCTGATTCAGATTGGGGGAGCAGGGAAGACACTTGGGGGTAAAGTTGTTGGCTCTAGAATTTGAATAAGATGGAGGCGCTGGCTTTGTTCTGATGTAGACATCAGGTACAGTGTTGGGGCTGGAGGGAACAGTGGAGTGAGGGCAGGTGGCGGACCCCATCTGGCAGGGCCTGGAGGGCCTGTGTGGAGCTGGCTTCCACTCCACTTGTGGAAGAATGGATGCCATCAGGGTAGAAGTAGGGAGGGCAGGGTGCCATGGAAGGTCTCCAGGGCACTTTGCTATGGAGGGGAGAATGGTTTGGGGGTACTGGGAGACGAGGTGGAGCCTCTGGCAAAGGTGGTGATTTTCATGAGGTGGGAAGTGATGACTCTTGTGCAGTGGCACTGATGCTAGTGCCATGGGACTGGGAGGTGGGCACTAAGGAGGGCACATTGATCTTTGGCTTGAGGGTGTGGTGGGAGGCAGCCTTATCTGTGTGCCTGAGGCCTGGCAGAGAGAGCATTGAGTCTGCAGGAGTTGCTGTGAGGAGGAGGGCCAAGCCAGAGCCACATGGACGTTTAGAGGTCAGGGTGAGGTAGTGGGTGCAGCCGAGTGATCGGGCAGTGGCCTGAGGAGACAGGAGAAGGTAGTGACTTGGGACCCAAAACAAAGTGCTTCTGGAAGAATGGGCCATTACCTGGGCCAAATGCTGCTGTGAGGCCAAGAAAGATAAAAATAGGAGCGTGCCCTTTGGAGCTGGCAAGCAAGAGGTCGCTGGTGACCTTGCTGGGAGCTGGCCCAGAGGCCATAGAGGGGACACCACACTGGGGGGCTGAGCAAAATCGATAAAGGAGGCGGCAGCTCCTCCAAGAAAATGTGCCCTGAAGGGGTGGGGCAGGGACTGGAGGGGATTCAGGATCAGTCGGGGCTGGCGGTGTTTCTGAAAGGTTCTAGCACTACACTGTCCTGTACGAGGACCACCAGCCACTCTGCTCAGTAGCCTTGTGACTGCTGGCTGCTCCGACTACCGCAGAAAGTTCCATGGTGCCATCTGCTGGGAGGGGGCCAGGTTTATGACGTAACGGGTGCAGCAGAGGGACTCCAGGGCTGCAGAGGACTGGGGCACATTTGTCGGTGGTACAGCCTCTGCAGGATAAGGGGGAGCAGCGCCCCATGCCTCCTCCACCTGAGACAGCTCTCGAGTGGGATGGCGGGTGGGTGGCCAGTGTGAGCAGGTCCGTGCCCCCTTCCCGGGTGCTGCTCAGGGACAGTGTGTGTGTGAGCACTGGAATAAATGAGGGGTGTTCAGGTGGGGATTACAGGATGAGAGTGAGGTGAGCGAGCTCATGAGCCCTGGGAGGAAAGGACGGTCCTGGGGACAGTCCACGGTCCCCTTAGAGCCTCTCGAGGTGATTCTGCCAGTTGCCTGGGCACCTGGGATCTTGGCTGTGCCAGACCTCATGGGGTTTCTGGAACTGTGAGGCCACATCCTGTCCCCCACCCTGGGACTTAACTCTGATGCAGCCTGCAGTGGCACCAAGGTGAGGGGCAACAGGGCTTCCAGGGGAGAGAAGGCACCCTCTGAAACAGCCACCCAGCACCCACCCGACAGGGAGAGGGGCTCATTCCCTGGGTCACCATTGACAAGGTCTTCTCTCCAGCCTCAGTTTCTCATCTGTAAAGTGAGGTGGTGCAATCAGAGCTTTGGGGTCCCTCCAAGGTTGAGGTTGTGGAGGCTGTAGGGGGGCAGAGGCAGCTCTTCCTGGGGTGCCAACCACAAGGGGCACTCCCAGAAGATCCCTCCATTGGAAGGATTCCTCTCCCCTGCTCAACCCAGAAGGAGCCCCAGCATGGGCAAGCCTCATCCCCTGGGCCACACCACAGCCCCGCCTCTCTCATTGCACAGCCAGGCTCAGCCGACTGAGGAGGTTCCAGAGCATGCATGTGGAGCTCAGGGGAGGTAAGACCAGGTCTGGGCACCAGACCACCAAGCCCTCACAAGGTGCCATGCTGGAAGCTTGCATTCCTAGAGTGTCTCACTGGGGGAGAGTGGTGCCCATGGTGGCAACAGAAAAGGGCAGCACAGGAGCCCGGGGCCTCCCAGGTGCCAGCACACCCTCAGGAAGTGCGCACCCACGCTCGGGGCAAATGTAGGTCTCACTAAATGTGTTGAGAATGTAGTCACCCCTATAACCTGGCCTGTGCCCTCGTGCAGACCGACCTGTGTGTTCCCATGGCAGAGTCCAGCACGTGTACGCGTGAGCCCTGTGTGGGCGAGCACATATGCACAAGGCCTCATGCGTGTGCTGCTCTCCAGCCCCAGGTGCCAGTCAGCAGACACCACAGTGCCCAGGGGCCCGGGAGCCCCGTCCCTCCTGCCAGCTCCTGCCCGCGATAAGGGTTCTTTAGGCCCTGTAATCCTCCTTAACTTGACTTTGGGTTATTTTGAGCAAGAGATTAAAGGTGATTACAATCAGCAGGGCCGAGGTGCCACACTTGCTACAGGGGCCTGCTCCATGCGCCCCCTTCCGGAGGCTCTAGTCGCTCGCCCCTCCCCCACAACACTGGCCTCTGGTAGGGCACCTTGCACATGGGAAGAAAGGCCACCCCCAGCTTGGCCCCTCCAGCCAAGGACTCTCGGCTTCTCAGGAGCCTCAGTGACAGGAATCATGGCTTCCTGCAAGGATGTGCAGGCGGGGAGGGAGCCCCCGAGCTCCCCCACCCCCCAGGTGTAGGTGCTGGAGATGAAGACAGTGACAGAGATAAACTTCATATAATAGCCCCACAATTGTAGATTGTATCTCACAAGTCAGGCCCACGCACTCCCCGCCCCACCCTGCAGTCACTTCTGCTTGGGCCGAGAGAGACCCAGTGCTGTGCGGGCGTCACACAGCAGCTCTGAGCCACGGGGGCCCATGCAGCTGGGTGGTGGCCTGGCCCCCAGGCCATCTGATTTCTCCCATCTTGGTAAATCAGAAATAGGCTCTTCCCAGGAACCAGATCAAAAACCATTCTTTATGAAGTTTCCAAAGGGGGAAAAATCCATTTCACATCATTATATATTTTTCTCCTAATTTAAGCCGCTTCAGTGCAGACGAGTTGCAAATGTCAATATCAGTGAAATACACTCTGCTGGCCACCCGCCAGGCCACAGAGCTGTACAGAGGCCGCTGTAAATCCAAATATTAACAAGCAAACACACACCCATTCCTCTGTCCTGCTGGAGAAATATGAGGACCCAGGGGTGAGCCCAGAAGACCAGCAGTCCTGCTGGGAAGGGTGGCTGTGAAGAGCAGAACCCAGTGGTGTGTTCAGCCACCTCTGCCCAGATGAGCCCCCATTCCTGTCTGTAGTCCCACACCCCACCCTCCCAGGTCAACAGTCAGAACCTTGATATAAGTCAGCACGAGGGGACAGGGGCACAGCCCTGTGCCAGAGAAGTGCATGGTCTGCCAGGGAGGAGCCAAGCAGGTGCTCTGGTGCCTCATATCACAGGGAGGAGGTAGAGTGAGGGATGGGGCAGGCAGAGGTGGGAGGGCTCAGGTGCTCCCAGGGGCTTGTTCCAGAGCCAGGTAGAATGCCACCTAGCGGGCTCATTGGGGAAACTGAGGACCCGAGGGAGCATGATGTGCCCAGGCCATGTAATAGGAGAGCTCAGGTCCAGAACCCAGCTGTCCTGGGTACCCTTGAGAGAAGCTGAGGACCCTCGTCCAGGGGCTCAGAGTTCTCCCTCTGGGTGCCCGCAAGTGCTGACTGACCCTGCTGGGACAGAAGGCTGCAGTGTCCGACCGACACAGGAGCATCTCTAGCCAGAGCCAGCGGATGAGCACAGCTCCATGCAACACTGGTCTGGCTGGTCTCTGCGCCTCAGTATTCTCATCTGACTAATGGGTCACTGATGAGGTGGCACCTGCTGGCCAGGCAAGGTTTTTGCTTCTCTATAGGCCACCACTCCTATAGGCTTGGCTGAGCAGCTGCTGTTATTTCCACTCTGCAGAGAGGGCACAGGCAACCAGGAGATCAGAGTAGGGCCAGGGCCACCCTCCAGATATGAGCGTAACATGCTAACATACCCACGCATTCCCGTGCCCTTCCTTCTCCTGGGGCCCTTGAACGCACCTCCACTTTCTGCCAGGCAGCCTGGCTGAGCTGGACTCAGCTGTACTTGACCACTTGACCTGGGGGCAGGCCGGCCATCTCCTAACCTGCTCTCTCCTTTTTTGTCTTGCAGCAGGACCGGCTGAGCCGGAAGCACTGGGTGGAACATACAGGACACCCAGGTCAATGGGGAAGGAGGCATCCGCGGCAGGACGTGGGTGGAAGACTCGAGGCGGCTGGCAGTGAGGGGGTGCTCTGGCACTGTGCACCATGCAGTTTGGGACAGGACACCCCTGAGCAAACAGGCCCCCTTCCCTCCTGCCCCTCTGTCCCTTCGGGGGGGTCTCCACCCATCTCTCACCGCAGTTCCCGTGGGCAGGCGCCTAGGCAAGGGCCTCTTGCCAGGACTGTCCCAATGGCCAGCTGCCGGTGGGGTGTGCTGTGGGCGTGTGTGGCGGCCACCCTGCTGCACGCGGGCGGGCTGGCCCGCGGCGACTGCTGGCTGATCGAGGGCGACAAGGGCTTCGTGTGGCTGGCCATCTGCAGCCAGAACCAGCCGCCATACGAGGCCATCCCACAGCAGATCAACAACACCATCGTGGACCTGCGGCTTAATGAGAACCGCATCCGCAGCGTGCAGTACGCCTCTCTCAGCCGCTTCGGGAACCTCACGTACCTCAACCTCACCAAGAACGAGATCGGCTACATCGAGGATGGAGCCTTCTCAGGTCAGTTCAACCTGCAGGTGCTGCAGCTGGGCTACAACCGGCTGCGGAACCTGACGGAGGGCGTGCTGCGCGGCCTGAGCAAGCTCGAGTACCTGTACCTGCAGGCCAACCTCATCGAGGTGGTCACGCCCAGCGCCTTCTGGGAGTGCCCCAACATCCTCAACATCGATCTGTCCATGAACCGCATCCAGCGGCTGCACAGCTCCACCTTCGCCGGCCTGTCCAAGCTCTCCGTGTGTGAGCTCTACAGCAACCCCTTCTACTGCTCCTGCGAGCTGCTGGGCTTCCTGCGCTGGCTGGCAGCCTTCACCAATGCCACACAGACCTACGACCGCATGCAGTGTGAGTCACCGCCGCTCTACTCCGGCTACTTCCTCCTGGGCCAGGGTCGCCACGGCCACCGCAGCATCCTCAGCAAGCTGCAGTCTGTCTGCACAGATGGCTCCTACGTGGCTGAGCCCCACCCAGTGCCGGGGCACTCATCCCCCGGGCGCTCACCGCCACCCCCTGTGCCCCCAGAGCCCAGCGAGGTGCCCTGTGCTGACGAGGAGTGTTTCTCGGGCGATGGCACCACGCCGCTCGTGGCCTTGCCCACTCAGGCCACCCAGGCTGAGGCCCGTCCGCTCATTAAGGTCAAGCAGCTGACCCAGAACTCGGCCACCATCACGGTCCAGCTGCCCAGCCCGTTCAACCGCATGTACACGCTGGAGCATTTCAACAACAGCAAGTCGTCCACTGTGTCCAGGCTGACCAAGGCCCAAGAGGAGATCCGCCTGACCAACCTCTACACGCTCACCAACTACACCTACTGCGTGGTGTCCACCAGCTCCGGGCTGCACCACAACCACACGTGCCTCACCATCTACCTGCCCAAGCCGCCCAGCCCGCCCGGCCCCGTGCCCAGCCCCTCCACGGCCACCCACTACATCATGACCATCCTGGGCTGTCTCTTCGGCATGGTGCTGGTGCTGGGCGCCGTCTACTACTGTCTGCGCAAGCGCAAGCGTCAGGAGGAGAAGCACAAGAAGGCGGCCTCGGCGGCGGCGGCCGGCAGCCTCAAGAAGACCATCATCGAGCTCAAGTACGGGCCCGAGATGGAGGCGCCCGGCCTGGCCCCTCTGTCCCAGGGCCCGCTGCTGGGCCCTGAGGCTGTGACCCGCATCCCCTACCTGCCGGCAGCCACTGGCGAGGTAGAGCAGTACAAGCTGGTGGACAGCGGGGAGACGCCCAAGGCCAGCAAGGGCAACTACATGGAGGTGCGCACCGGGGAGCAGACGGAGCGCAGGGACTGTGAACTGGGCCGGCCGGGCCCCGACAGCCAGAGCTCGGTGGCCGAGATCTCCACCATTGCCAAGGAAGTGGACAAGGTCAACCAGATCATCAACAACTGTATTGACGCGCTCAAGTCCGAGTCCACCGCCTTCCAGGGCGGCAAGTCCGGGGCCGTGTCCACAGCTGAGCCGCAGCTCATGCTGCTGTCCGAGCCGCTGGCCGCCAAGCACGGCTTCCTGTCCCCTGTGTACAAGGACGCCTTTGGCCACGGCCTGCAGCGGCACCACAGCGTGGAGGCGGCCGGGCCCGCCCGCACCAGCACCTCGTCGGGCAGCTCCGTGCGCAGCCCGCGGGCTTTCCGCGCCGAGGCCGCCGGCATGCACAAGGTTGCGGCCGCCGAGGCCAAGTACATCGAGAAGAGCTCACCTGCCGCCGACGCCATCCTCACTGTGACACCTGCCGCCGCGGTGCTGCGGGCCGAGGCCGAGAAGGGCCGCCAGTACGGCGAGCACCGGCACTCGTACCCCGGCTCCCACCCGGCCGAGCCGCCCGTGCCGCCTTTGCCCCCGCCCCACGACAGCCTGGGGGGCCGCAAGGCATCCATCCTGGAGCCCCTGACCCGGCCCCGCCCCCGAGACCTGGCCTACTCGCAGCTGTCCCCGCAGTACCACAACCTGAGCTACTCCTCCAGCCCCGAGTACGCCTGCCGGGCCTCCCAGAGCATCTGGGAGCGCTTCAGACTGAGCCGCCGGCGGCACAAGGACGACGAGGAGTTCATGGCGGCCGGCCATGCCCTGCGCAAAAAGGTTCAGTTCGCCAAAGATGAGGATCTGCACGACATCCTGGACTACTGGAAGGGTGTGTCGGCCCAGCACAAGTCCTGAGCCCCAGGCCAGGCGCCCGGTGCCCACGCCCCCTCCCGCGCTCGCCCCGAAACTCGTGACGCCCACTGGACCAAAAAGGACACAAATCCACTGCAGCTATTTGTAACCCAGAGACTCTTACCATGAAATGAAACCACGTGCACCCCCCACACCCCCCCACACGCACACACGCACCAGGTGCAGCACTGCTGAAGCCTGGGGCCCGCAGAGAAAGCAGGGCGGGGGGTGCTGACAGTCATGAGAATGAACCCTGAGCTGTGCGTGACCTGCCACGACATTCCCCCCAGTGAGCAGGCTGTCCACACACTGTTCACGCACACACACACGCACACACACACGCACGCGCGCACACACACACACGAGGGACTTCGGAAAACTGTGTCTTAGGGACGGGGGGTGGGGGTGGGGAATTTTTTTTTCATTATCTTTCCACTTGATTCTTCTTCTCTGCCTTCTTTCTTTTCCTCTCTCTACTTATTCCTTTTTGAAAAAAATAATTAAAGTTCTCTTCAAATGACAAACACCAGACCTGGGGGCGCGGCCACCTCGCTCTCGCGGGACCTCCCCGCCTGTGGTTTTCCGTGCACTGTCCAGCCGTGTCTTCGTTGCCCCTGAGGTCACCGGAGCGGGCAGGGCGAAGGCCGGCGTGGCCTCTGAGACTGCAGGGAGGGACTGGGCCTGTGGATGGGTGGGGGTGCGGCTGGGAGCGGGTGCTCCCCCACCCACCACACTGTAGTCGTTCTATTGTACAGAAAAAGTATTTCTATATTTGCAATGTTTGCTGTAAAATGAGAAAGAAAAAAAGACTATGTCTACTAAAAAAAATTCTGCAAAGGAAAAAAACCCAAATACCTGTTTGTACTGGGCTTTTACTGTGTGATTTAGGGAGAGGTTTGGGGTTTTTTAAATGTTGGTTTAGGGGTGGGACTGGGGGCCCAGGTGGGGCAGCACTGAGCTCTCTTCCCAGGTCAGCAGGTAACCCCGGGGTGGGGGGGCAGGAGAGCTGCAGGAACAGGGGCTGCCGAGACAGCGGGGTGAGGCCTGGGGTGTGAATGGGCGTGTGGGGGGTTCCTGTGGCCAAGTGTGTCTGATGTGCGTGTGACCAGGTGTCTGCACCGACACTGAGTGGGTGTAAGTGGGCAGCTGGAGGTGATGGGTGAGTTTTGGATGGGGAGAGTTTGAGTGTGAGTGGGGTGAGCTCACAAGGGGTGGAGGGTGTGTCCTGCAAAGGCCAGGTCCCTGCCTAAAGGGAAGGCGCCCTCAGACCCCAGTACGGCAGGCCCCTATGGATACAGAGCCCTGGGCCACTCATTGAGATCTGCCTCTTCCACAGGCGTCTTGCCCAATCCCCCTACCTACCCTGGTGTGGCCCCAAATTTGGAGCAGTTTGAGTGCATGTCGAACAGCACCAGCTTGTTCAAGATTTCCAGAGAAGACTGGGTTCTGGCGCCCCACCCAGAGGACTTGTTGCTGCCAAGACACAAGTGCCCCCCTTCTGGCCCTGTGGGACCAGGGAAAAGCTTTGTGGGAGAGAGGCCACCTCTAGGCCCTTGTGCCCACCTGCCAGCAGAGTGAGGGCCCTGTGCCCACTCCAGCCCTTAGTCCTGAAGAGGAGGGCCATGCTGGGGGTATCCCTGGGAAGGGGAGCCAGGACTCTGCAGGGAAAGGGCTCCCTCCCACAACAGCCCTGGGCCTCCTGCCAGTGCTAGTCTTCCTACCCACTCTCTGCCAGGCTGGGCAGCCCCAGTCCTCTCCTTCCTAAGAGCCTCCACCCCCTCCATTTACCCACTCCCAGTCTAAATGTCTAACAGGGGCTCAGTAAGGTAGGAGCGGGTGGGGAAGGAGGCTGGACCTGGGGCCTGGATGTATCTGGGGTATCTGGGGGGTGCTAGAGAAGACAGCAGAGGTAGATGCAAGTTCTTGGGACCTGGTGGGTCACCACAAAGGGTCATGAGATGGATGGCAGCCAAATCAGCAGGGGCCACGGAGGGTGGGAGGAATGGGTAGGGCTTGAAGCAGCCTGAGATCGGCAGCCTCTGCCTGCACACCCCCAGGGACAGGAAGCTCACCTCTTTCCTCAGCAGCTGTCTCCACCTTTAGGTACTTTCTGAGACTTGAGTGGAAACCAATGGTTTTTCACAGGTCCCAGCCTGAACCCTGGTCCTCCAATGGCCATACAGGCCAGGCATCCCAGTCCTGGCCTCTGCACCCTGGTGACCCCTGTAAGGTCCCATTTCTGAGGCCTCTGCATGGGCACAAGATGTGTTGGCTACAGCTGGCCCCCAACTGAGCCCCTCCAAAGTGGGTCAATTCTGAGGACACCACACACTGACTTTGTTTGACCCAACAGCCTCCAGGCCCACAGCTCTGCACAGCTCCTTGCCTTCTGCCATGGAGTCCCTGGAGGACAATGCAGGGGACCCCCAAGAGAAAGAGTGGGCTGAAGACACCAAGGCCAGGCCCAGGGCAGTGTGTGCAGTGAGGAGAGCGGGGCCAGCACTGGTGGCTGCAGCCCAGAGGGGGCCTGCCTCACCTAAGGTCACAGCACCTGAGGAGAGTCCTGGCCAGGCCACAGAAGTCACAGGGCCTCCTCAGCCTGCTGCTCCCTGTCACCAAGGAGATAAAAATTGGCTATTTATAGGGAATCAAAAGGTGATGGATACAAGGTCAGGTGTGGAGGGACACATAACTGCAGAGCTCGCTGCCACCAAGCAGGGGCCTCGGGAGACAGACCTGCTAAGTGCACGGGAGAAGGACCACCAGCCAAAACACCCATCTAGGAGCTTGGGCGCCCAGGACACCCAGGCTCGGACAGAGGCAGCACTAACGGTACAAATCCAGGGCCAGTCCTGGGCACTCAGGCCCACAGGTGTCTTGGCTTGAGGGAGGTCACAGGGGAGTTTGACAGGAGTCGAAACTCACAGAAGACATGCACACTTACTAAGCACCTCTGTGTGCTGGATCCCCAGAGAAGGATCCAGCCCCGCCTCCAGCCTCACACAGCCCCCAGGCCAACAGGGTTCTCACATGGAGGCAGGTGCCCCAGCTCAGGGTGGCACAGAGCCCAGGAAGCCCAGGGAAGCATGGAAACGCCTGTCTGGAAAGCGCCTGGAAGGTTTCCCGAAAGAGGTAGTGTTTGGTCTGGATAGGGGAAACCACATGGAGGAAGAGGGGTTGGCAGCCTGTGGGTTCAGAGGCTGAGCTGAGTGTAGGTTGGAGATGGAGGGGGAGCTGTGATGGTGTCTAGCTTCCCAGGGCAGGCCCAGAAGCGGCTCGTTGGCCTATGAGGTGGTGGGTATGGAAGCCAAATGCCTGGGCTCAAACCCAGGCTCTGCTTCTCACCACCGTGAGACCAGCAAGTCACTGACCTTGCCGCATCTCACCAGGGATGCAGGCACCTGGCCCTCCTCCAGAGCCCTGGGCACGAGGTCAAATTTCACACGGAACTGGAGGCTGCGTGCCAGTTACCTGTCGGAATGGTAACGCTGCACATCGAACAGCCACACACACGTTATCTCAGGGGGGACGGGGCTGGTGGGGACTGAGAGGTGAGGGGACTGAGCTTTGTGCCACACGCCTCTTGGCTTCCAGCCAGCCAGCCCAGGCATGCCTCCATGGGAGGCCTGGAGAGCAGGCCCTGGAGGCACTTCTGCAAAGGTTTCACCAGCCAGACTGAGCTCCAAGTTGAGGTGGGGGACAGGTCACCCCATCAACACTGGATGAGCAAAGGGCACAGACACGGGGTGGCGTGCAATTAGGACCATCAGAGAACAGAGGTCAAATGCACAACTGAGCTCATCAGTCTCTCTCACCAGGCTGACCATAGAGTCTAAAGTACAGAAAATCTAAGACAGATGGTCATCCACCCATCCATCCATCCATCCATCCACCCAACATAAAACCGGAGCACCGCTGTGTAGAAGACACACTGGAGACATCAGTAAACTGCCCCCTCCCCCCCCCACCTTGAGCGCATACCAGTTAGTCCCAATGGGAAAGCGTGACACCTGCCAAAGGAATAATTCAAGGGATTTTGCCTGCAAGGGACCATGTCCAGAGAGAGGGTGTCAGGACCCAATGGATGGCAGCAGTGAAGCTGGCACACACCCACCAGGGAGGAGGAGCCTGGTGGGAGGCAGGAGAGAGATTATGCAGAAAACCCACCGGGGCCCTGGGGAGGGGATTTCAGTAGAGGTATGTGGTTTGGGGGGGGGGTGTGTCCCATCCTCTTCCCAGCTCGTATAGGCCTCCCCCTTGACTGTGGGACCAGAAAGCCAGGAGGCAGAGGCCCAGTAAGTCCAAACTGTAAGGAGAAAGTGGGGTGAGAAGGATGCACAACTGATGCCAAGAGGCAAGTGGGAGAGGCCCAGCCCGGGGCATTTAAGAGCAGCCTCTGACCTGATAATGCAGCATGCACGGGCCAGCACTGGGGGGCCCCCAGGGGGCCATCTTTCCTTATGGAGTAAGACTTCTGGAGGCAGTGATTGTTTAAGACCTTGGGGGACACACAAGAACTGGCATGGTAGAGGTGGGAGAAGGCAAGGGATTTCCACCTCTCAAGGAAACCTAGGTCACCGCACCCACCCCTAGCCAGAGAGGCAGGCAGCGCAGCTGGCAGATGGATGCCGGGACAGTGGGGAGACCGGGCTGCTGGGGCCGGGCTGGGTGGCCTGCCTTGCGAGCAGAGAGTTAAACTGTGAGCAGTGGAGAGTCACTAAAGGATTTTATAAAATAATGACTTCTGATTTTTCTCATCTCAAAACCAATCCTTTCATTACATACACCTTAGAAAACAGTTCAACATATAGAAGAAAACAGAAGTCACTCAAGCTTACCACCCCATGATAACCATGGTTAACATTTTTGATATCTGTCTTTCTAGCCTTTCTTGCTATAAATGTATCAAGCTTGGAATTTATTCTTTACAACCAGATGTGCAAAGCAGCATCTCTTTCTGTGAAGCACATCTTAGTATGAGCCTCTATTTCCTTCGATGGGCTCTGGCTGTTGTGCAGAGATGGAAGTCATGATAATGTGCTTGAGCATTCAGTAAAGAAGACTGTAACGATGCGATGCCCGAGAGGGAGAGAGAAGGAGAGAGTGGAACAGAGATGGGGGGAGAGGGAGAAAGGGAAGCAGGAGGGAGGGAGAAGGGAGGTGAGCACAAGAGCAGAAGAGGAGGCGTACCCAGGAGTTTGTTTAAGGAAGGATGAGGTTTGCTGCTCAATGGACCAGGCCTGGCTAGGACCATGGACAGTTCACCCATAATCCAGGAAGAAAACAATATACTGGGCGCTGAGTTGGGTGCTGGGGTGAGTACAATCTTCTCACTCCACTGAGTTACTCTTTGTTCTACTTTCTGGGAGGGTTAAAAATTTTTT